ATTCTATACACTACGTCATTTGTTCTTATTATTATTTTGGACGGTCCTTCCCACTGTGATTACAGCTTCGGAGACATTTCCTTTTTCCGCTGAGGATTATACAGTCACACGAGGTTTCCCTTTTGCAAGCCTTCCGAGTTCATCCGTAAATTATACCTGGCTTTGATCATGTCTCCGCTAATCTGAAGCCGTTTTCTGATAAAACGACGCACCTCATCTAACTGGGTTCGTTTGCCGTCAACGTAGTTGTAATATGCTGTTCCACACGGTGGTGTTACTCCAAATTTCAAGTCACCTGTTAACCTTACGTCAGTGCCGAAAACAGCCCTAGCTAGAGTAGTTGAAAACAGCCCTAGTAGCCCTAGGTATGCGTGTGTCCCAATCCTTCTGATTTCGGTCCATGACTTAACGGAGATACTCGTTCAAGGTCCGATTAAAACATTCCACCATACCATCCGATTGGGGATATAAAGGAGTAGTACGATATCCAGCACCTGCATACTTCTCTAAAAACTGTCGATTCCGTCCCTGATCCGAATGGAGCTCCAATGGCACACCATACCGCGCAATCCAATTATCCAAGAAAACATTGGCGATAACGCTGGCTTCTTGATTGGACACAGGATACACCTTTGGCAATAAATTACTAAAACAATTCATCGTTACCAACACATACCTATTCCCTCTACTGCTCAAGGGAAAAGCCCCAGCGATATCCATCGCAGTTCGCTCAAACGGAGCCCCTACATTGTACTACTGCATTCCACCGTGACTCCTCCTACTTGGTCCTTTCGAAGATACCCATGGGACACATTTCCTTATAAAATCAGCAACAGAGTCCCAACAACCTACGTAGTAAAAACGTTCTTTAATCTTTTCCACAGTTTTTGTTATACCCAAATGACCTCCAATGCATGTACTGTGATACTCGGAGATTCTTTCATTGATACGGGACTTGGGAACCACAACCTTCCCTAAGGTGCAAACTCTGCCATTTCATCCAGTACACCTTGCATATAGGACTCTCACTCGCTATTTGCTGCCATTCCGTTCGGATACCCTGTTCCTTGCCCTGAATAACCTTTACAAGGTCTGTATCGTCCTGTTGCGTCTTCCGTACTTGTTTACTGGACCAGAACTCTTCTGGAAGAACACCTTGTCTTCCACTGTTTCGTTTTGGTTTAACGAAGACCTATCCGTCACTTCGTCCACCCCAGCTTCTTGGCGATGATGTGCCTTTCCAGTCGGGGAACTCGATCGTCTGCGTCTGCTCCGTAAGCGGCATTCACATGCCATATGCCCAGTTTTTCCACAAACAAAACATTTCCCGCTGAACTTATTGTCATTTTTCGTCAATGCAACTTAAACTGGCGCATTATTTCAACCAAATCATCCGCTTCAGTTTCTGCTTTTTGCACCTTTGCTATGGGTCGAAACAATAAACCGGCGGCCTCATATGTTAATGCACTGCCAACTAATGCAGCGTAGGTTTCCTTTGGAAACATTACCATTTGCCGCCTGGCTTCTGGATCACGTATGCCATCAATAAAAACGTCAATTTTACTTCTTTCAATGAAGTCGCTAGAACTACTAATATACGCTAAATTGCATAAACATTCGATATCTGTGGAATATTCTTGGAGACTCTCGCCAACCCGTTATACCCTTACCCACAGTTCTACTCCGCGTGGCAGTGACATAAAATCGCTGCTATGCCTACGCTTTGATAAGCCAAATAGCTCGTAGTAATTCTTATGTGCCCCATCAGGAATCTATTGTTGCACCTCTGCCGCGCTGCCCTAATGCCACGATCAGCGCTGCCGTCTTTTCATCATCACCCCAACGATTTGCAACAACGGTTGTCTCGAACTGCAACTGAAAAACTTCAAACGTCGTAGTTCCATCAAATGCCGGTGGCATTACCTTTACTTAAGTTTGTTTTTTTTTGATATCATCTGCTTTCATATTATTTTTTCAATTAAAAATTTTTCAGCTATCAGGCAAACCACAATAAAATGCTTTTATTTAGAAATTTGAAGCAGATATTTCGTCCTTTATATAGAACATCTTCAGTTTTTTAAAATTACACATTACAATTAAAATAATACCTTAATTTTTAATAAAAAGCTTAACTTAAGGTTTATGAATTTAAAATAAAACAATATATACGAAAAATTAACATATATATAAAAAATAATACTATTGAACTCAAAAAAATAAAATGAACAATAATTATTTTTATTCTTAACATCACAAATGTTAAGTGATCAGACTATAATAAAACTTAGAAACAAAAATAAGAAAATGGAAAAATATAATCTTTTTTGTTATGTCTAAAGAACTTTAGTACAATTTGTATAGTTGTCTATGTTTTATAAATTCAAAAATGTAATATAAATTATTATTATTTCTCTTAAAACAGTTCCATATCAATATCAACCGGTCAAATTGTTTTCTTTCTTCTTTTTGTTTTCTTTTAACCGATATTAGAATTAGAATAATAGATAATAATAATAGAATTAGAATAAAGCGCACTGGCATTCTCTGTGTCTTTTTTAAAATTCACCACCTGGTTGTGATTTAATATAATATATATGACTTCAGCAAGTCCTCTTTTTTGGTAGTTGTTCTCAATTTCAAGAATTGAAACTTCTTCGAAATTGAAAGTATGTCTAGCTGAATGATGATGTTCAGATAGGGCTGTTTTTTTATAATCATCAGCGCGTCTGCACGTTCTTTTATGTTCACTTAACCTTTTTGTAATTTTTGTTTTGTCATTCCTATATAAGATTTATTGCAATCATTGCAATTAATCTTATATATTAGATTTGATAAATTTTATTTTTTCTCTTGATCTTTCAGCTTAGAGAAAAAGACATTGGTTGTTTTTAAATTGTATAATACAACGTCAATTATTTGTTTTTCTTTGAACAGTTTCGATATTTTTTGAGATAATCCAGGAATGTTTGGAAAAGTACACCTTTTTTTAATTATTATTCGAATTGCTCACTGTTGTGTTTTTAACTAATTGTATATTTTAATTTGAAAATAATATTTTGTTAATGAAATATTTGGGGTAGTTATTATTGTTTAGTATTTTTTTAATTTGTTTAATATTATCTTCCATAAATATTTCATCACTCAAAGCTTTGACTCCACTTATAATTATTAATGTTCGCACTATCCAAATTCTCTCCTGCTGTTTCTAAAACATCAGCATTATTTTATTCTGTGAAGTGCATTGGCACTGAAATTTGAAAATTAAAAATAATTATAATTAGTTAATTCAATAATTTTTCAGCTGGTTTATAATTACGTTCTAAAATAACAGTGAGAGAATTTGTTAATGAACTTTCACAGAAAATTAACAAAATTCCAGTTTTAAACATACAAGTAAAGTACGGTTTTGGGTCAGTTGGATAAAGAACACTGACACTGAGTTCCAGTCTCAAAAAATCATTTAGGAATAATTAAATGTAAGAAAGAATTTTTAGATCACCGATGTTAGGTATTTGGCAATTCTCAAAACTGCTGTATTGTGAGAGAAAAAAAAAACAATTAAATAATAAGTAAATAAAAAATGTTGTTGTTACAGTTCATTTCTGTGCGAGACCTTTATATCAATGTACATAAACCGTAATAATTCGGATGCTGATTTCAACTACTTAAGGAAAGCATGATATGAAGTAATCATTATAACATAGATGTGATGGTAAGAATATGAATTGCACAAGCTATTGATTCATATCAGATAAACTCACAGTTACATAGAAACGCAAAAGATCTAACTAAAGACGGGACCGGCAAAAAATTATAAGGGCTTCTTAATTCACTAGGGCTCACAATAGCGATTGCGATTGCGAAATCGCGTTTAGGTGTGAAGCAGTAACGTCAACAATTGACTATTGCGTTATAAAGGCTTATTTTTAAATATTATACGAAAACTTTTTCTGCAAATCTATTACCTGTGGAACTAACACTTAAATCAAATTTAATAAACACCTGCCAAAATATGAATCTATTGCCAAATCTTAAATGACTGAATCAATATACGAATCATTGTCCGAATAACCTTGATCAAAGATTAAGCAGTCCATTAAACAGTACAGCTGATAAAATAAAAGCAACAACTACAAATGCAGTATAATTCCACTTTCTTTTCAACGAAAAGAAAGTGCAATAATATTTTATAACCTAAATGTAACGAATGTAATACAACTAAAAAATTCTACAAAAACATATTTAATGTAATAATTTAATGTGTTTCATCAATAACAGCAGTAAAAGACTTTAAAAGTTTTTGAAACAAGGTACATATGTAAAAGCCATAAACTTCAATAAGTCGGTAAAATTTAATACCAGCATTTTAGCTATATACGTACGAGAATCTAAGGTATTTAAAATAATATAGGTTTTAGAGTGTTGTAAAAAAATAATACGTACGCTGAGGGTCGAGTTCCAATAGTGTTTTTACGCTTCAGATAAAGGTATCAAAGGATTATACAAATTTTTAATTACATATTTCATAATTCAGAAATACCAGAAACTTTTAGGAAGTCAATACTGTTTCTACTCTTCGAAGGAGATGATCTGCATGAAGTAGAACACCATAAGAGAATGTCTCTTTTGGGTTCGACAGTATTTACAGGTGTATTTAATCAACGACAACACAGTAGAGTCGAAACAAAAACTATTAAGTGAATATCAAACAGGCTTCAGGCGAGGATATTCGGGCAATGTTTTTAATAAGCAAAATATTGCAAGATTATATATAAAACCAAATAAAATATTGTGAAAGAATTATTTATTTAAAATTCAAACAATTAGAAATGATTCTATCGCAAAGTATATTTATGTGCACATACACTTTAATAGTTCAGTTTTATGAATAATATTTACATTACATTACTAATTTAATAAATTCATTCGCATTTATTTATTTGAAAATACTAAGGCTAAGCATTTTATTATAATAAATTTGTATTATTTTATCTTTGGACCATATATTTGTATGAGAAAACCTTTTTCAAATATAATTCTTTAGCATATTCTTTTCTCTTTAATCATATAATTTTTTTTAATTAACACACTTTTATTAATAAATAATTGACAAAGACATCTTGCAATTACCCTCTTTTGAAATACGTTTGACAAAACATATATATGTATGTGTAAATAAATTTTTTTAAATTTAAATATGATCTTTTCAACAGGATATTCAGTTCAAAATTTCAAATTATTTCTTATGTAAGGTCACATATGTATCTAAATATATGACATACATTCTGAAATTTTTTGTATTTACATTCATACTTATTTGTTTTCATTTTTTTTATTTTATTGTTATAAATGTACGTAAAACACTAAGTTTTGAAGTAAAAATTTTATAAGTTATTTTAACTTCTTGTTTGGACTGAAAGTATAAGAAAATTAAGTGAAAAAAGGTATGCGAACAACTTAAAGTTTATCGTTATCGTGATCAATGCCCATATTTTTTACTATTTTATAATTGGTTCCATATTTTGTATTAAATTGATCTAAACTACAGGCTCTAGCTCGAATTGGTGCTAATACATCTTCCACATCAGTGTCACAGCATTCAGTCTCAGTATAACTTGTTTTACGATGACGTTTATCAAAGGAGTATTCATCAAAACTTGATACTTGATTCATATTTTCAGAGAAGGAGTATCCACGTTTTCGTTCCTGTTTTGCCATTTCTGCAGCAAGCATTTGGACCTCCCAATCGTTGTGGTAAAAATTTGGTAGTTCTGTTAAGTTTTGATTCTTTTTGTTAAAATCGGTCTCAGTACCCACAGTTTTTTTAAAATTTAGTATACTAGCTAATGAGCTTGAGCTCGAGAGTTGCTCAAAGCCCAAAATTTCATTGTCTGGAACGGCAAATACGTTGTCAGCGTTTGTTATTATTTCGTCATTATTTTCGCTGGATTGCTGATGGCTTTTATTAGCATTATCAACAGAACTAAACTTAGGATAGTTATGATAAGATTCGCATAGTTTTGAATAACCTGTCAATGTATTGCTTGTACAAGGAAACATATATCCTGAAATCGGTTCAAATGGAGTTGAAGCAGGAAAGATAGAACTTAGTGAGTTTCCACGCTAAAAGTAAAAAACATATGTTAATGAAGAAGTTAGAACAGTAAAGAATTGTAACGCTATATAAATATAAAAAAAAATCATTATCCTGAAAACATGTATCACTGAAATCAATTACCATAAATAGTAGCTCAGCTGATGAGGTGGAACTACTGCATTTATTCGTTTCATTTTCTGGACCATAATAGTTCAGATTTAATTTTTCATGGTGTCTTGTATTCTGGGCCGGCAAAGAGTTTGAAGAGGAAAATTTCGTTTCACTTCCAATTTTCTTAAGTTTTATTTCTAGTTTGCTAATGATGGTGTCACGTTTTTTGACTTCATTTTCCAAAATTGCGAACTGGGTCTCAAATTTTGCATGTATTTCGGTTATGTGACTTTTTATTAGATTATTTATCCCGCATAAAACTTCATCAAAACTCTCCTGTTTTTGACTTGAATCTTAAAGTAAAATATAGTTTGTTTAATATTTTCTCTAATTTTATTTGTATATATACAGCGGTCAAAAAAAGTATTCGATATTAACTAAATTTTTGTTAAATGTTGTAATAACAACAAAAAGAAATGAAAAAAATTATGCATTTTTCAACAATTGTTTTCTGTTTATTTGTTTTTATTGATTTTACTTAAAAAATTTAAAAATAAAATAACAAACAAAGCAATTATATTGGGGCAGGGTTTAAATTGCTTGTTGAGAATTAGCAAAAGCAACCAAATTTGACTAATGCATAAATATTGACCAGTCAATTTTTGTTCAGCGACTAATGCTAATGCATTGCATAAGAAAATGAAATAAGAATATGCATTAGCAACAGCAAAAAACGCAAACTGGTTTCATTTTGATTGCTTGCTAATAGTCGATTTTACATTTTTGACTATTATGCGTTTGGAATAAATGCAACGTTCTCGCTTATGCGTTAGTTACTTGTGTTTTGCTATAAGCGAATACCAGGTGTACCGGTATGAAGCGAGCGTAAAGATACAAATGTTCCGACAGGGAACATTTGTTGTGAACGAGCCTTTATTTCTTTTTGTTTGTTTGCTATGACATGTGTGAAATATATTTAGTATACATCAAGTCATTGAACAGACAACATTTGCGGAAAGCATTAATTTTTTGTTTTCATTTGAAGAAAAGTGGTGCAGAGTCGCATCGAATGCTTGTCGAGGCATATGGGGATCATGCTCTATCAGAAGCAACATGCAAAAGATGATTTCAACGGTTCAGAAATAATGATTTTGATTTGAGAAATGAAGAACGTGGAAGACCGCCAAAAAAGTTTGAAGACGCCGAATTGTAAACGATATTGGATGGAGGTGACACTTTGGGTCAAAAGCAAATGGCAGAAATGTTAAATGTTGCACAACAAACAATTTCTGACCGTTTAAAAGCTATGGGAAAGATCCAAAAGTGTGGAAAATGCGTGCCACATGAATTGAATGAAAGACAGATGGAAAACCGAAAAAACACTTGTGAAATTTTGCTTCAAAGACACGAAAGAAAATCGGTTTTGCATCGGATTGTTGCTGGCGATGAAAAATGGATTTATTTTAGGAATCCTAAACGGAAAAAATCATGGGTTAATCCGGGACAACCATCAACATCGACTGCAAAACCAGATCGATTCGGCAAGAAGACAATGCTGTGTGTTTGGTGGGGCCAGAAAGGTTTGGTGTACCACGAGCTCCTAAAACCTGGTGAAACCGTCAATGCTGGTCGTTATAAACAACAAATGATAAATTTGAACCATGCATTGATCGAGAAACGACCAGAATGGGCCAGAAGACACGGCAAGGTAATTCTGCTCCATGACAATGCACCTGCACACAAAGCAAAACGGGTTCAGGATGCAATCAAAACACTTGGCTGGAAGCTGCTACCCCATCCGCCGTATTCACCAGACTTGGCTCCTTCCGACTACCATTTGTTTTCATCGATGGGACACGCATTGGCTGAGCAGCATTTTGATTCCTACGAGGAGGTCGAAAATTGGGTGTCTGGTTGGTTTGCTTTAAAAGACGAACACTTTTTTTGGCGTGGTATCTACAAATTGCCAGAAAGGTGGTCAAAATGTGTAGAAAGCAATGGCCAATACTTTGAATAAAATGTTTTTTACTTTCCTATTAATAATTAGTGTTTTATTTTCATCAAAAAACGCTCATTTCGTACCGGTACACCTGGTATGTATGGATTTCTTGTTTTTGTTTTAAAGGAATGTGTACGCATTACTTCTTTGTTGGTGCATTGAATATAGTTATGCAAAATTGTAAGTAATGTGTGTGCGTACAATTTGTAATCAAAAAATGTAATTTTATCTGTAATTAGATTAGATAATTATAATTAGATAATTATAATTAGATAATTATAACATAAATGAGTAGTAATATGTATATTTAGATTTGTAGGTTATTTGATTTTTCCCTGTTATGTATACTTTCCTAAAAATATCATTTGTATTCAGAAATATAAACATATATTTATATAAATTTATGTTTATATTTCTGAATACAAATGATATTTTTATATTTATATAAATATATGTTTATATTTTAGGAAAGTTTTAAGTAATATATAGAATATATTATGTACAACTTTTTGCGACAGACGTCGACATTGCCGCCAATTTATAGTAAGCCACGACGTTTACCTATTAGTGAAAGGCAAATCGTAGATCAAGAAATTGAACGGTGGTTAAAAGGGGGTATTGTTGAAGCATCCGACTCAGAGTTTTGTAGTCCTATAGTACTTATACGAAAGCGTGATGGTACTCCAAGATTATACATAGATTATTGCAGATTGAATAAAGTAGTTGTCAAAGATCGTTTCCCGTTACCCTTAATTGAAGATCAACTTGATCGTCTGCAGAACGCTAAACTCTTCAGTACAATAGTCTTAAAAAATAGTTTTTTTCATGTTTCAGTGGCACAGTCATCGAATAAATATAGTTCAGTTATTACACACAGCGGCCAATTTCAATTTTGTAAAGTTCCGTCTGGACTATGCAATTCACCGAGCGTATTTCATAATAAAGAAAATTATTAAAAATTAAATTTTGCGTTTTTTTTTAACTTCTCGTTCTTTTTTGATCAAATGGTATAGCCATTTAGGCTATTTTTTTTAATTAGTGAATGTCGTCGTATAATACTTTCACAAGTGTTCATGCAATATTTTTTTTTACAAAATAATTACAGTTTGAAATATACATTGTGGCAACGCCACATTCATAAATTCCTACTTTCGTTAAAAAAACAAATCCTGTGTCTATCAGATGTTTTATTCGTATTAGTAATAAAACAAAATACTATTATTATTTCAATGTTCTTGTGCACTTTGGTTTTGTTGAAATGCAAAAAAATTTTTTATAATTTAAATAAACAAACCGCTCTTAGGCTGTCGCGGATCGCAATAACTAGTAGGTATGTTTATTATTTAATCTTATGCGCTCTTAGTTAAATTTTGTTTTTGAAATTTAAAATTTTAAGCGTTACGTTAACGCTATTGCTCCACCACTTCGTGCATTAAATTAATTTATTAAAAATAATTTCAATGGTACTTAAGTTTTTTAATAAAATTTCATCTAACTCAAAAAAAAATCAAATTTTCAACGAATTTTTTCACAAATTTTTTGTTTTAAAAATTAGGGTTTAATATCAGTTCTTAAATGTAAACAATTGTGATTGTTTTTATTATTTCCCAAAAACTCAGTGAAGTATTTTTGTAATGTCAGAAATTTCAAGAGTTTGTCGTTACAATAGACAATTTATTTTTACTTTTTTGTTTATAATATAAAGTTACAATTTGCTTAATTTTTTAAATCTTCACTTATCTATACTTTGACAACAACCTTTCTAAAATCTTTTTACTTTTTTTGCTCAATCAAAATTTTTCCGTCTCTTCTTGCATTTACATTCTTGTCAACTCCTTGTGGAACATAGGTTGACATTGGATTACAATTACAGAGTTGTATTTCTCAACTTCTTGTTAAAATTTAATTACGATCCAAATTTCCTTCATTCAGAATATAAATTCTGGTATATTATGTTTATTATACCAAGACAAAAACACTTCTTTGGTTTCACCTACGTATCATAAATATGTTTGGGTGGACACCACATAACTCCCCTGCCAGTGATTGAGTTATGGACGATATCACGATAGATTGAAGGTAACGTATTTTTGGGGCAGACGTGTGGTTCTTCCACTTCGTGTTGCCTTGCCAGTATTTTCACTTGGTGTGCTTGTATCGGAGAGTTGTGTGTCGTTTACATTCGCCTTCAGTTCGCTGTTTGGTAAGAATTCTGCTTTTAGGCGGTCGATACTTACGCGTACTTGTTTTCCTTTTACCAGTAATTCGAATGTCTTATCAGAGCGACTTACAACTTTGTATGGCCCCTCATATGGTGCTTTCAAAGGTGGTCGTACTGCATCATCACGCAGGAAAACGTGAGTACATTTTTGTAACTGGTGTTGTACAAAAACCTTGTCCTTTGAATGATGTGATACTGGGACGGGGCGAATGTTGTTCATGGCTTGTCTGAAGCGTTTCACGAATTCTGAACATACTTGCTCGTCTTTGACTTCCTCAAAAAAATCACATGGCAGCTTTAGTGCGCTACCATATACGATTTCTGCGGGTGTGGCGTCCAGATCTTCCTTGTGAGTATTTCTTAGGGCAAGGATGACAAGTGGAATTACTTCGGTCCAGTGTTGGTCATTTTTACACTTTATGGCTGTTTTTAACGTACGGTGGAAGCGTTCGATCATGCCATTGCTTTGTGGGTGGCGAGGACTTGATCGCAAGTGTCTTACGCCTAGTGTGCGTGCCAGCTCGTTAAAAAGTTGGGATTCAAACTGACGACCTTGGTCAGTGGTGATTTGCGTTGGTACTCCGAAATGTGTTATCCAACCATTAATTAGTGCAGTAGCGACTGTTGAAGCATGAATATCTTCAATTGGGATTGCTGCCGGCCATCTACTAAATCGGTCGATACAGGTTAAGCAATATGTATATCCATTTTTGGTAGGTAGTGGTCCAATTAGGTCGATATGTATTGCTGCGAACCGTTGTTCTGGCGTTGTAAAGCTGCCAATTGCTGTTTTGTTGTGCCTAATGACCTTCGCACGTTGGCACGGGATGCATGTTCGTACCATTCGAGTGATGTCCTGATTCATATTCGGCCACACGTACCGCTTACTGATGAGTTTAACAGTGGCTTTTTTACCTGGATGTGAAAGGCAATGTACGGCATTGAAAATGTGTTGTCGAAATGGTTTAGGAATGAATGGACGTGCATTCACTGTTGACATGTCACAGGCGATGGATATTGTTGCGCCTGGAATAGTTATAAGCTTGAGTTTGAGCGTGGTATTGTTGCTGGTTAAGAAATCGTTGGTCTCATTATCTGTTTTTTGACTTTGAGCCAATGATTCAAAATTTATA